TTTTTTTTGTTTTTCAAGACAGGGTTTCTCTGTGTAGCTTTGCGCCTTTCCTGGAGCTCACTTGGTAGCCCAGGCTGGCCTCGAACTCCCAGAGATCCTGCCTCTGCCTCCCGAGTGCTGGGATTAAAGGCGTGCGCCACCACGCCCGGCTGAGGATTACTTCTTAAGCAAAGGATATTTTATGTAATGACAATTAATTCTGAATGAAAATAATCTTGAAAAAAATGATCTCAGGTCTAAGCATTGGGGGGGGGGGGGCTTGATCCTTAGGAAGACTTACGCTGTGAAAGTTTGTACTAGGTGAATGTTCATGCTTTTCTCTTGTTAATCTGTTTTGTTGTGGAGTCTCTATCAAGGAACCTAAGGTAGGTAGAACCAAAAGATAAGACTCTCCATTTTTAAAAAAGTGCTCTCCTCTCCAAAACATCTATTAGCACCACCAAAATATTGTTTTATTATGCCTTCTAATGATATTTTGGAGTTTTGTTAATTTGAATCTAAGAAGCTCCCATAAGCTCACAGGGAGTGGGACTATTAGGAGGTGTGGCTTTGTTGGAGAGAGTGTGGCCTTAGAGGATGTATGTCACTGTGGGGGAGGGGGTTGTTGAGATCTCTTATGCTCATGCCATGCCTAGTGTCTCAGAGCACATTTTGTTGCCTGTGGGATCAAGATGGAGCTCCTTCTCCAGCACCATGTCTGCCTGCATGCCTCCATGTCCTGACATGAGCATAATGGACTACACCTCTGAAACTGTAAGCCACCTGATTCAATGTTTTCTTTTATAATTGTTACTGTGGTCATTGTGTCCCTTCACAGCAGTAGAAAACCTAACTAAGACAGTATGTATCCAACATAATCACAGAGAACAATGAACTCAAAAAAGAATTTTGCTTTTGGAACACCCTTTGGTCATGGATCTCTTACATAAACCAGCTCAGATGCAGAATACCTTGTAACGGTTTGTACATTTAGGTGTATTTGTTACAAATGCTTTTAGACCTGTATCCTCTATGTAGACATACATCACTGCAGAGCAAGCCCAGGTCAATCAATTCATCTTGCTAAGTGGAAATCTGGGACAGCCATGTGTCTGTCATGCAGTGGGGAAGAGCTGATCTGTTGTTCTACACTGAGTAGCAGCGTGCAGAGTCAGAAATACCTTTCTCTTTGTGTTCTGCCTTTTTGCCTCCTATTACTTCAGCTGTGATCTTCACTCATTTAACTAGAACTTTCCCAACACATGCAGACAGCCCACCCCCACCATCTCCTTCCCATGCTACTCACACTAGTTACCTCTGTGTCTCCAAACCCTAGGGTAATAAATGTTTCCTAAATCTACACAGAACCATAAACTAGTACATGAAGAAATTAACAACTTGACTTCTAGGCAAAGAGAAGATGATTTAGATAGAGACAGTAGTGGCCACTACCATCATGGAGAATGAAACCTCATGACTACTATATATATTGAACACTGCATTATTCATGGGAGAAAAAATACAGAAAAAATTAAAATATAGGATTAATATTAAACTACTGAAATGATATGCATGCATAGAAAAAAGCATTAAAGAAATTTTAATATCCATTTCTAGATACTAATAGCAAAATTTATTTCCCATATATCTGCTTTTTGAAAGTTACATGTTACATATTTTCTAATAAGGCAAATGCAGTGTATCAGTTGTGAATTAAAAAATGATGCCTTTCAAAAAAAAATATAACAGGCACTCAGATTTGAAGTCAGCAAAGAACCAACACAGCAATCCAGGCACTCAGAAAGTTCTGCTGCCTCCTTGGCTGGTGTCTGGGAGTTGGGATTTCAGTTTATCTTTATATTTATATATACATGTATATGCAGTTAGATGTGGTTGTACACAATATATATACCATATAGATACTTACAAAAGTATCAACATAACAATACTCATAGCTATGCATACCATACACATGCATGCCAATACCACAAAGTTTGTCTGTATCTTTTTGATTTTTTATTATGCCAATTTATTGTACATTTAATTTAATTTCAAAGTATATTTATATGTGTGTGTGCACATGCAATTGTGTAGACAAACACATGTTCTTAAATGTATGAAGTGGGCACATATTTGTGTGTGTTGTATGGAAACAAGCATATGTGTATTGTGGCACAACATGATGGTGCCCTCATCCTTTATGATGGGCTAGTTGCACTATTACAGTGAGGTGGGGCATGCTTGATCATGCTTAATTCTGTGCATGGTTACAAATACTAGCCATCATTTAAGAGAATTGGTTAAAATTATTTTTGGTTAAGATAAGAAAAAAACTGAATCAAATTTCAAGCAGAGGATAAATCAATGAATTAAATAGAAAAAGGTATTTTAAGATGTAATATGTTTATAAAAATTTAAAGGCTTAAGTATGTCATGAAAGACTGAATATGTTCTATATTGGGTCTGAGGAAGTAGTTTAAGATATAAATATATGGAACTTGAAAGCTTAAATAAAATTTGAATACAAATAAAGTTTATATGGGTTGCTGTGGGATGTTCTGTATGTCCTGTAGGAGCCCATTCTCGGGTTGCTCATGGCTTTACCTAGCAGGTCCGCATAGAGGATGATTAGGACCACAGGCCTGAGTGTAGGTGTCTGAGATGATCTGCACTTGGCTGTGCTGGAGAATGGTCAGTTATGTCAAGTTGCTCTGGTTGGTCAATAAATAAAACATTGATTGGCCTGTGTCTAGGCAGGAAGTATAGGCGGGACTAACAGAGAGGAGAAATAAAAGAACAGGAAGGCAGAAGAAGTCACTGCCAGCCACCACCATGACAAGCAGCATGAAAAGATGCCTGTAAGCCACAAGCCGCGTAGCAGGGTATAGATTTGTGGAAACAGATTAATTCAAGCCGTAAGAACAGTTAGCAAGAAGCCTGCCACGGCCATACAGTTTGAAAGCAATATGTCTCTGTGTTTACTTGGTTGTGTCTGAGTGGCTTTGGGACTGATGGGTGATAAAGATTTGTCCTGACTGTGGGCCAGGCAGGAAAACTCTAGCTACAATGGGTCTAAAATGTAATGGTTTAAGGTATGGGAATATAAAAAGAATATTTTTGGGAAGCAGGAAAATATATGAAATGCAACTTCACTTAGATAAAGTTTCTAATGAAGCAGAAAACTAGATTTCTGACTTTGGAAGGAGGATCTACCTAAAGGCTTCCATTGTGACAACAGAGGCTCATGGAAATGGCACCTTGGTTTCAAGTCACTTTTGGGTGAGGTATGTAGCAGGGATGAAATAGCTATACCATGTGACATCAGCACATAGACATTCTACTGTCTACTGGAGAGCCCTGGCATTCCATGTGATGTCACCAGTGTTGTGGCAACACCAACTGTCATTGGGGCATTGGTGCAGTGTCTCGTGTTTCACCTACAGACATGCTGACTAGACTGAACAGGATTCTTGGGAGACAGGATGGCGAGCACAGGGAGATCAGAGGAAGGCAGAAGGAAGATGGCCTTCAGTCTCCATGTCACACACCAAGAAACAAATGGTTCTGGGGAAAGCCCAGTGACTCCTGGAAAAGGGATAGGGAGCTTCCTGAAGGAAGAAGGCTTCAGCTGATCCTTTCAGGAGTGGGGGTCAGGAGGGGAGAGTTTCTGAGAAGCAATGAGCCTATCCTGGTCCTCTGAGTACTTCAAGAGCAGACCCAGAGATGAGGATTTCCCATGTTTAGTTTGGCAGAGAGCCAGGGATGGTCAAGTTTGAAGCTGCCCTGTTGAGGGCCCTCTGCTTTCACTCTGAGTGGGAAGGAAGCACAGAGGGACTAAAGAGGTTTCAGTTCCAGCCCTGCACTTCACCCACACTGGATTTCTTTTGGTGTGTGTCACTAATAGCAGGGAGAGTAAAGTCCCCTGGTCAGAGCTAGAGAGTCTCACATTTTAAATAACAACCACTGGCAGGGCAGGAGCCACCAAGTATAGCCACATGTCAGTGACCCCTAAGGTTTCTGAGTTCCTGCCCTCTCACTAGCCAGTCCTCTTTCCTCTACATTGAGTACAAGACTGGGACATCAATCTTTTTGTAAGCATTTGTTCTTGGTGACTGAGGGCTCACCTGGGGATGCCCAGTCCTTAATTTTTTTCAGTCATACCTATCAGTAGTTGATAACACTTTTGCTAATTTCATGATGGTTGAAATGGTAAAGGTTTTAGCAAAAGTTCCATCATTTCCAATATGACTTATCATTGTTCTGACAGGACACACATAATCATCTACCATTCCCATACATTGTAACTGCCCCATGGATCTTCTCTAATGTGCTTGTTCATCTCATGGAACTGGTCTTCCTTCCCCATTATCCCGAGCTAATTACTTAGCATCTTTAATTTCTCATCTTATTAGCTTGCAATTATAAGAATGAGAAGAACCATTTCTGGGCAGTGTTTGGAAATGACCCTAGCTCTCCACACATGATGAACTATTGAATTAGAATGAACTAGATTCTAATGAATCTGAGAGATCTCACATTGGAAGGAGCAGGTGCTGAAGGCCTTGCCATGTTTCTCAGGAAAGGCTCCTAGAAAGGGCAGCTTGGCTTTTGGTGAATCGGGGAAGAGCTTGTTATCAGATAGGTGATGACCATTGGCAGTGGCCCTAACAGTCCATTCTCTGGAAATTCTATTGTATCCTGAAGAGCCTGTGGCATCTTCTGTGAAACCACCAGTGTTGTGGCAATGCCAACTGCCCTTGAGGCATTCACTAAGTGCTTATATTGTTCTCCAACTGACATGTTGTCAAGACTGATCACACTGATTGGCAGAGAGAGCCCTAGTTTCCTAAGGAGGAGGTGAGGCTAGAACTGGACTTTCTAGTAATGGGGTTCAGTAGCTGTAATCATGAAGCAATGGGCCTATGCTGCTTATCTGGGTTCCTAAAGAACAGATCCAAGGTGAAGGATTTCTGATGGTTCAGTGGCAGAGGGCCAGGGATGGTCAAGGCTTCAGCTGCTGTGCTGTGACCTCCTTCAGTTCATTCTGAGTGGCAAAGAATGCAACAGGAAGCAAAGAACCACTAATGTGGTATCAGAATGGGATGTTGTTGCACTTTATGTCTGGTAAATACCAAAGAGGGAAAGTTTCCATCCATGTACCCAGGTCTGAGACATTCAGTTCCTTTTAGTCATGGACACAGGTTATGAGGGCTGTTAGGCGAAGAGCACTAGGGAATCCTGGACTTCCTTGCATCACATCAGGTATGAGATGACAATTCCAAATCAACATGGGTGGCCTTGCTTATGTTATTCAGGGCCAGTGGGGCTGTAGTAGGGGCTGAGGCATATATGTAGCCATAGTGATTAGAGACAGACACATGGCTTATGAGGCCCAGCTTAAGAAGAGCTGCTCTGATCTTTGAGGGCTTCACTGGGTTCCATGCTTTTCCTTTTCCTCAGGCCTCCTCTTGGGACTCCACATGATCTTCTTGGCTTATGCCATTCATCTGTACAAATTCACTTGTGTTTATGTACCTACAGGGACTGCTAGGAATGCATCATCCACACCCTTCTTCCTCACTGAGCAAGAGCAGCAGCTGAACCAGGTGGAAAAACTGAAACTTCAGCTACAGATGATGACCAATGACAGGAATGAACTGTGTGAATTCCTGGCCCATTACAACAATGAGTTGAACAACAGGTATTCATCATGTCCTATTCTCTGGTGATTGTCTTGATCCTACTGTGTCAGTTCCAGCAGTCCTTGGGTCACTGGAAGCTGCACCTGCAGGGTGACCTGCACAAACAAATTTTCCTGAATGCATCTGAGAGGCAGAACTGAAGCCTGTAGGAGTGAGATGGGACACAGGCTGTTCTGATTCCTCCTAATGAAAACCAGACCCTGTGGCCTGAATCACAATCCACAGAGAGGGGCAGAAGGGTGTAAGATCACAAGAAGCATCTCAAGAGGCCTTGACAGGTGTTGGCTTGTAAGAGATGCTGGGTGCTCTGAATTTAACCTTTTAACCTTAGTGTCTGTATTTGACCAGATATTTATTTTTGCTTGTTGCTCTGGGAGCAGATTGAAAGGCCTGGTGATCCTTCTTGCTCCATCTGTGTGTGAATAGAAGGCCTGGAATCCATCCCAGCTCCTCTCTGGTCTTGTTCCTTATACTATGAGACAATGCCACCCACCTGCATTTCTCTGACATCTTAATTGTGTATGGGTTTGTTTGCATGTGAATTGCACTATTAAGGGCCCAAATATCACAAACATGGTAGTGTCAGGTTTTGCCCTTTTCACCTCCATCTCCCTTGATAAACCATTAGATTACATTCCTTAATTTAGTCCCCAAAGTTCATTCCCTTTGGTGGACATTGACTCATTCTTGAAACTAAACACCAAAGTCTAACAATCAAAATTCATTACTCAGCTACACTTGCCAACCTGTCCAATCAGATCTCAGCAACTCACCATAGCACAGACTTAGTCTTTCTTTTTAAAATCCGACTGCTGTAAAAGCCCTGCTGCGTGTTGTCTGCTTTTGCTGATCCAGAGGCTGACTCCCAATGCTATGCTTGACATGCTGGAAAAATGCATCTCTTTATGCTCAGGATTTGGTCTCAGTGTGTTCTGTACTGTCTCTAAGAGGCTCCCCTAAAGTGTGTGTGTGTGTGTGTGTGTGTGTGTGTGTGTGTGTGTCCCTTCAGATCTTGTGAGTTCCATATTGATAGTAGGCCTGAGGATTTGCCTGATTCAAAGATTTCAGGTGATATGAGAGCTGAAACCAGGGAGCTCCAATTTGAGCACCACTGTTCTCAGTCTTTGTGCTAACCCTGGTGCCTCATTGGAATCCCCTTGGGAGTTTTTAAAGCCATCCTCATGGAGTGCCTCATGCATGGCAATACTGATAATCAGTTCTGGTTATCCTAGTAAGGACAAAGCATTTCTGTTCTCACACCAGTGGAAATGTCATCACAGATTTTAGGTAGGCCCACGGTGGTAGACCTTCTTAGAGAGCTAGTCTACCTTTCCAGGCCTACTGAGGGAGCTCATGTAGCCCTGTCTCCCTCCCTGTTGACACCCAGCCTTTCCTGGCCCTGGGGCAGGGTAGCAAGTCTAATGCACATCAGGAGTTCCCAGTACATAGGATTCAGGGTGTGACATCCAGTAGGCTAGTGTAGTGCAAAATACATCCTTAATTCATGGGGTCCCTGAGGGCAATGTTCACAGGGTTCTTTGTTCCTGGGGCTATTCCCTATCACAGGCTGAATTCGGAGAATGAGATGCAGAACACAGAGCATAAGAAGGATATGTCAGATGTGAAGAAATTACCCAAGGAAATTAGTGAGGCCTTGTACAAGTGCACAGAGCTGAGTGAGAAGACCAAAATCTACCAGTGAGTACCTGACTTGGGTGGACTCCAGAACTTGCTAAGGACTACTTCTTCTTGTTTGAAGTTTCTCCAGTCCTGCCTGACCCTACTGTCAGGAGGAATCCTCCCACCTGCCTCCTGCAGACAAATGGCCCAAATAAACACACAGAGGATCACATTACTTACAAACTATATGGCCAATGGATTAAGTTTCAGGCTAGATAGCTCTGTCATCTTAAATTAACCCAATTCTATTCATCTGTGTTTTCCCACATCGCTGCTGAATGCCAGGCTGCTGGCATGTTGCTCCTTGGGTGGCACCTGGCATCTCCTCCATCTCTGCCTTTCTTCTCTGTCTCTCCTGGACTTTCATGCCTAGCTACTTCCTGGCTTTCCATAGGCCAAAGCAGGTTATTTATTAACCAATGGGAGCAATACATATTCACAGCATACAGAAAGACATCCCACAGCATCTTCTTCCCTTCTCAACCTTTAAACCAAAGTGAGGGCTGTGGTTCTAGTCTGTTTACCTCTTAGCAAGCAGCCTGCCTTATCATTCTTGGACTTGTGCCTCCTAGACTGAGTTCTCCTAAGTGTTAAGAGTCGGACAGCCCCTCCCAACTTTTGCCTGTCAGCTTCTGGAACTTCTAGACAGAAAACATAATTTGCACCATGAATCGTTTCTGTGGCTCTGGCAGGAGCTTACAGAGCTGGTTTCTATGGGACACATGGATGGAATGAATTCCTGATGCATCTTCTGTCCCCCTCAAAGCATGATTCCCTCTACCCGCTCATGTTTTCCCAATACTGTGAACAGTTAAGTACAAGGGTATGTGTGTGGGAGGCAGTAGATCCAGTCTTCAGGGGTACATGCATCCCTTTTGCTGTCAGGGTCTTCAGAAGTAATGTAAATCTTTCTGGAATTTGGCTATTCTCTGGCTGTTGCCTGCACCTGAGTGATGCTGCCATGGCTAATGAGGGCTCTAGGACAGGGCTGTTGGGGATGGGGACATGGGAACTTGCAGGAATCATGGTATTGGGAGGGAGGAGTGGCAGATGGAATCGGAGCACATCATTTCTTGTGATATTTCAGCACCCTCTACAGTCAGCACCTGAGTGAACAGACTCAGCTGAAGGAAAAAGTGAGAATCTTGCTAGAGGACAAGAAAAAGCTGCAGGGGGAGCAGATTTTGCTACAAGAGTCCTGTGAGGAGGCAAAGAGGCTCTGTGAGGAGGCCCATGAGAAGATCTATGACCTCTGGACAAGGCAGCTACAGGTAGGTTGAAGCAGCAGGGCCAACCTGGCCATCAGTCTGACCATACACACACATACACACACATGCACATACATACATGTAACCATCTACTCACTTACCCAACTGACCCATCCCATCCAATAGTTCAATTCTGTGATCCTTCACATGTATTTCTGGGAATTCATCTCTTAGGCAAGCAAAACCTACTGCTCTGCTGGAAGCCGCAGCCCATTGAGGGAGACAGGTCAATCACATACCACTCACCTGTATATCAGTATGGGAGGCGCCGTGCTATGATGGTAGCCACAGAAATCTGAGTGAATCAGGTCAAAAGTCTAGGTCTCATTTGTTTTGCAGGGGTCATGTGAGATCAAAGGCAGACACAGCATAGAAGGAGGAACACACCTTGAAAAAGCCAAATGACCGGGGCTCATAGACATCATTGGGTGCCATATGGCATTTTAAACTTTTGTTTTCAGACTGCCATAGTGTTCTCTTTACCTGGCCAAGCTCTTGGTTCACAGTGACAGAAACTAAATTAACAGCTTGTCAGTACTGTTTGCTGTGAGTGGCATTGGCCAGTTCTCCCATCCTGGATCTTACATTCAGAAGCTCACTGGATGACCAGGGATGTGGCAAGGGCTTATGACAGGTGGGGGTCAGGGTAACAGATTTAAGCCAACTGCATCAATGTAGCCTGCAGAGACACAGCATGCTTCCCCAGGCAATTTTAGTCCAAAATGATTCAGAATTGTGGGACTCACTTATAACAGCTAGAGTGAGGATTCTAAAACCAACTGTCAATGTCATCCTCATCCAGTATGATGTCCTCCTTAACTGCATTCTGATCACTTATGATTTGAGGAGTGTTTGTCTGTGTGTGAGTATGCCTGTCTGAGGGTGTATATACATCTGTGGGTGTTTTGGAAGGTCTGATGATGACATTGAGTGTCCTCTGTTGCTTTCTCCCTTATGCTCTTCAGTCCAAGTCTCTCACTGAACCTGAAATTTTCTGTTCTGGCTAAGCTGGATAGCCACAGATCTTTGGATCTCCTGTCTCCTCACAGTAGAGCATCCTGTCTTTTTCTGTCTCATTTCATTGCTAAGTGGTACATTTGGTCAGAAAGAGAATTGACTTGTTGGTTTCTCTTAATTTTTAAACATTTTTATTACTTTGGAATTAATGCGTCTTATAATAAATAACAAAAATCAAACAATGTAGCTACTTTTAAAAAAAAGTAGACTTCCTTTCTTTCACAGCGTAGAGGTAACTTGCAAAGTAAAGGTCTGTTTTGTCTACTGGCTTCACAACATGTAACCTGATAATTTGGAGCTCACTCTTAGGACATAGTCCAACTCATAGTTGTATAGAGTGCTGCATTTTAGAAAAGTGCTGTGGATGACCTAAATAACCTTCCACTGACTGGCCTGGGGCTGTTTTCATATAATGTGCACTGTAATCTGGTCAAAAGTTGTTGGGTAATAACAATGGGTGACATCTAGTCTCTGGTGCTGTCGATGTCTTCTGTGGAGGAGTCAGGGTAAGTTTAGTGAGGAGACTATAATGGGTCAACTTAAATCTATCAGGAGGCTTCATGTCCTGCCTTCTTCCCCCAGCACTTGGTCTTGTGTGGTCCAACTCAGTTGTGTACATGTTGTTACTTCTCTGTACGATCAATGAGTCTGGTGATAAGAACTTCCCTGGGAAGGGAAATAAGTTCAGGCCAGGGCAGAAGAGCTTGGCTGGGTCTAAGAGGCTTGTAGACAGCAGGAAGAACCCACTACCTCCCCCCCCCCGCCCTGGAGTAGAAAAGGTGCTGCAACATTCTAGTATTCTACCTTGCCTTTCTGGATTCAAGAAAG